ATAAAGCTAACCAAACTCCCAAACTAAGTAATAAATGACCCCTAAATAAAGCAAAAAAAATATACCAGCGTTGACCCCAAACAGATGTAGAAATCTTCAATTATATTGTACATGCGAACCAAGGAACCCGAATGGGAGACAAGTGTGGGAGACGAGTGGGAGACAAGTGTAAACTCAGCCCAAAGAACCCGGAGTGGGAGACAAGTGTGGGAAACAAGAGTGGGAGACAAGTGTAGGAGACAAGTGTGGGAGACAAGTGTAAACTCATGTGCTCCCAGACATCCAGAGTGGGAGATACGTGTGGGAGACAAGTGGGAGACAAGTGTAAAATCATGCGGCCCAAGACACCCAGAGCGGGAGACAAGTGTGGGAGACAAGTGTAAACTCATGCGGCCCAAGGCACCCAGAGTGGGAGACAAGTGGGAGACAAGTGTAAAATCATGCGGCCCAAGGCACCCAGAGTGAAAGACGAGTGCGGGAGACAAGGGGAAGACAAGTGTGGCCTCATGCGGCCCAAGGCACCCAGAGTGGGAGACAAGTGTGGGAGACAAGGGGGAGACAAGGGGGAGACAAGTGTAAACTCATGCGGCCCAAGGAACCCAGAGTGGCAGACAAGTGTGGGAGACAAGTGTGGGAGGCAAGTGTGGAAGACAAGTGTGGGAGATACGTGTGGGAGACAAGTGGGAGACAAATGTAAAATCATGCGCTCCAAGACACCAGAGTGGGAGACACGTGTGGGAAACGAGTGGGAGACAAGTGTAAAATCATGCGGCCCAAGACACCCAGAGTGAGAGACAAGTGTGGAAGACAAGTGGAAGACTAGTGTAAACTCATGCGGCCCAAGGCACCCAGAGTGGGAGACAAGTGTGGGAGACAAGTGTGAAAATCATGCGACCCAAGGCACCCAGAGTGAAAGACAAGTGTGGGAGCCAAGTGGAAGACAAGTGTAAACTCATGCGGCCCAAGGCACCCAAGTGTGAGGGACAAGTGGGAGACAAGTGTAAAATCATGCGGCCCAAGGCACCCAGAGTGGGAGACAAGTGCGGGAGACAAGTTGGAGACAAGTGTAAACTCATGCGGCCCAAGGCACCCAGAGTGGGAGACAAGTGTGGGAGACAAGGGGGAGACAAGTGTAAACTCATGCGGCCCAAGGAACCCAGAGTGGCAGACGAGACAAGTGTGGAAGACAATTGTGGGAGACAAGTGGGAGACAAGTGTAAACTCATGCGGCCCAAGACACCTAGAGTGAAAGACAAGTGTGGGAGACAAGTGGAAGACAAGTGTAAAATCATGCGGCCCAAGGCACGCAAGTGTGAGGGACAAGTGGGAGACAAGTGTAAAATCATGCGGCCCAAGGCACCCAGAGTGAAAGACAAGTGTGGGAGACAAGTGGAAGAAAAGAAAAAAGAAAGAAAGTGTAAAATCATGCGGCCCAAGGCACCCAGAGTGCGAGACAAGTGTGGGAGACAAGTGGGAGACAAGTGTAAACTCATGCGGCCCAAGGCACCCAGAGGGGGAGACAAGTGTAAACTCATGCGGCCCAAGGTGCTCAGAGTGGGAGACAAGTGTGGGAGACAAATGGAAGACAAGTGTAAACTCATGCGGCCCAAGGCACCCAGAGCGAGAGACAAGTGTGAAAGACAAGTGTGGGAGACGAGTGTGGGAGACAAGTGGGAAACAAGTGGGAGACAAGTGCAAACTCATGCGGCCCAAGGCACCCAGAGTGGGAGACAAGTGTGGGAGACAAGTGTGGGAGACAAGTGTGGGAGACAAGTGGGAGACAAGTGGGAGACAAGTGTAAAATGATGCGGCCCAAGAGACACCCAGAGTGAAAGACAAGTGTGGGAGACAAGTGGAACCTTCCACTACACTTCACTACATTACACTACAACTACAACTACAACTACAACTACACTCCACTACACTCCACTACACTCCACTACACTCCACTACACTCCACTACACTCCACTACACTCCGCTACACTACATTACACTACACTGCACTACATTACACTACACTACACTCCACTACACTACACTACATTACACTACACTTCAGTACATTACACTACACTACACTCAACTACACTACAACTACAACTACAACTACACTCCACTACACTCCACTACACCCCACTACACTAAAATACACTACACTACACTACATTACACTACACTACACTACATTCCACTACACTCCACTACACTACACTACATTACACTGAATGACACTGCGCCACAGATAGACAGGTAGACAGATAGATAGACAGATAGACAGGTAGACAGCTAGACAGATAGACAGATGAAAGAGAGAGAGAGAGATAGATAGATAGAAAGATAGATAGACAGACAGAGAGACAGACAGATAGATAGAAAAACAGACAGATAGATGGATAGATAGATAGATAGGTAGATAGAAAGATGGAAAGATGGAAAGATGGATAGGTGGATAGATGGATAGATGGATAGATGGATAGATAGATAGATAGATAGATAGATAAAAAGATAGAAATATAGAAAGAAAGATAGATAGATAGAGATATAGAGATAGATAGATAGATAGATAGATAGATAGATAGTTAAGATAGTTAAGATGATAGTTAAGATAGTTAAGATAGATAGTTAAGATAGATAGTTAAGATAGATAGTTAAGATAGATAGTTAAGATAGATAGTTAAGATAGATAGTTAAGATAGATAGTTTAGATAGATAGATAGATAGATTAGATAGATAGATAGATAGATAGAAAGATAGATAGATAGATAGGGAGATAGATAGATAGATCGATAGATACATAGGTAGATAGATAGATAGGTAGGTATTTAGATAGTCAGAGAAAGAGAGAGATAGAGAGGAGACATCAATCACCTTTCGATCCATCAGTGGCTTCGCTCCGCCATCCGTGATTCACAACAACCAACCTTTCCTATAGGTTTCCTATTTTTGAAACTTCCGCCACCGCCTTGTGCGGTACTACTGGCACTAATAATGATAATAATATTATATATATAGTCATCCTGGAGTAGATAGAATATCGGACATTTTCAAAAATGATTTTCAAAAATAACAATAAATAGTTGGCATATTTTCGAAACCCTCAGTTTTTACACGTTTTTCGTCTTTGTTAAGTCATTTTTAGCCAGTTTTGGACACGGGTCTAAAGAATTTTTGAAAATACAAAAATCAAACAACACCAAAAAGTAGATAGAATATTGTTTCAAACCAGGTAGATAGAATATTTTGAGGGAATTGTGAATACCACGCACAGACCCCACAGCAGCTTAAGACCCTGCAAACCATATTCCAACTACCAGTTTTCGACCTCCCCCGAAATATTCCAACTACCTATTTATTTTTAAGTGGCTGACATCCAACATAATTTCAACATAAATCCCGCACCCTCCCAAAAAATATTCTATCTACTTTAGGATGACTATATATATATATCCAAAAAAACAGTGAGTTCGGATATTCTTTTGGGATCTTTTGCGATTTCCATAGCCTTTAGGATGATCTGATGTTACACTGCCAGGAATCTCACTGAATCTATGGAGATCGCCAAAGCCTTCGAATTGCTCTCGATTCCCTTGTTCGTAGCGTATTACCGAAGATCCTACAAGCGCTTTCTGCGCTTGAAGGCCCTTCTAGATTCTGGCCGCTATGGCCAAGTTTCCTCGGTTCAATATCGTTTGGAACGACCCGCGCCTGCACCGGGCGCCACACCCGCGGGCTGGCGGCAAGATGCTTCTATCTCAGGCAGGGATTGGTACTATACATGTCATGGGCCAGTCTTTACGTTTCTGATTGCCCTTAGGCACCGGTTCAACAATCCAAAAACGTTCCAACTACACTGGCTGAAATACATCACCATCCACTGTCTCAGACAGGTGAGACCATAACCATCGCCTTTCTATGTCGGAGTTTCATGGATTTTCCATTAGTATATTCAATCCCCGCATGTTGGTTGAAATTTCAGGGTTGATTCAATCATTCATGTTCAATCCATCATTATCCGTGCATTGAAATCCACTTATTCTTATTGGCTATTCTTTGCCCGGCATGACCCATGTTTCAATGTTCTACCTCCCCAGGTGTTAATGAAAATCCCCACATTTCCACGGCTCAAGTGCACACGGCTCAAGTGGTCCATGTTGTTTGAATCCAAACATCGGCTGTCCAGAACCATCCCTTTAATTGAAATTGGCCAACCATTTTGGTTCAACCATTTTGGGGCCTTAAAACTTGCCATGCCAGGTAAATGTGGCACCCACAAATCCAAAGGTTTAAAACCCAATTTTCCCACTTTAACCACCTTAAACCGTCAAATTTGAGTGGTGCATCCGCCATTTCTGGGCAAACTCATGTGTCTCCAAATATGGATTTCTAATGATTAATACTATATATATGTATATATATATATAGATATAGATGCAACGTATTTCCAATTCTCCAGCATTTTTGGTGGCTTCATAGCATCTCCATTTTTCCATCATACCGCTTCCATTTATGATTTTTGTTGGCCAACAAGAAGCCGCCCATATTTTCCACACCTGCCCCCCAAGGTGGTGCCCCATACTTTGCTAAGTTGTTAGAATAGGATATAAGTTGCTGGCTTGTGGTTTCAGGTGTTAGTTTCAGAGAATGACACCATTTTGGTCCAAAAAACGCCTGCAGGCCCAGCTTCTGCCAGGTGGAGGTCTCTTTGTGGATCTCGGGTCGCACGCCTTGGATCTCCTGGATTTCCTCTTCGGTCCCCTGCAGCTGCGAGGGGCGGCAGCCCGGCGGCCTGAGGCCGACCCAGCGGAGCCGGAGGATTCGGTGGTGGTGGCCTTCGCCTGTGGGGAGCAGCAAACCACAGGTGTGGATGTACCCAATATGAAACACCAAGGGGATGGGTGATTCAATGGGTTTACCTTATTTTTATGATTTTTTATGTAGTGTTGCACATTTTACTCGAAAAAAAAGGGTTTTGAGATGTTTTGAGAGCGTATGTTCAGGAGAATTGTGAAGCCATGAGGTGGTGGATCCGGAGCCGGAAAAATTACCATTTGTACCGTGATTACCCTCTGGTAAACTAACATATAGCTATTGAACATGGCCATTTATAGTTGATTTACCCACTAAAAATGGTGATTTCCCATGGTTATGTTAGTTTACCAGAGGGTACATTGTTTTTTTTCAATATATATATTATTTATATATATATATACTGGGCATTCTTTTAACTTCATAATCTTTGGCCAGAATCTTAGGGATGGAACTTGGGACGAGGTTCAGGAAGTGAGACGCGGGGTGAAAAAATCGAGTCTTGTCAAATCTAATCCTAATCTATTTGCGCCCATCTTCAATCCATTTTTCTATCGATTTATTCTTTTATTCGCTTATCCTGCACTATATTTATATATATATATATAATTTTAATATATTCTTACACTGGTACGCATATCATTGAAAGAGACCCAACTTCGCTATAACCTGGATTCATGGAGACAGCGGCCTGTAAGCTCATCCACATCAGCTTTGATCTGGCAGGCACTGGAGTGTGGAATTTTCACTCCACCGAAAGTTCTGATGTCTTGGAGATTACCACCAGCAACGCCAAGATTCTGCTGCCCGACTTCATGAACGGCCGGCAGGTTTCTGTGAAGTCACCGGACGGCACGGTGCTGGAAGAATGGGTGGAGGCACCGCCGAGCACCGTGCAGCTGCCGATGATTCAGAGTGTCAGCTGGCTGCAGATGATTCCAAGTTTAAACTGATGACCAGCCACGGGCGGTAGTGAAATTGGGGCGGGTTTTTTTTGGCGACAGTAACAGGGGTTTTCTGCGACGGTTGGGTCATTCCAGACAGTAACGGTTTTTTTTTGCGACGGCGTCGGCTGCAGCGGGTTTTTTTGCGTCAGTTCACGGTTTTTTTTTGCAACGGTGCTAGCTGCCGAGGTTTTTGTTGGCGTCAGTCAGCGCAGCACAGTAGAGGAGGAGGAAAAGGAGTCAAGGAGGATGAGGAGTCGAGGAGGAGGAGGAGGAGGAGGAGGTTGCTCCGCTGTGCAAGGGAGCTAGCAAGGTGAGAGCGGTTTGAAAAACAAAAAGGCGGGTGGGGGGCCGCGGGGGGAGGGCGCAGCGCTCCCCCGCAGAGCGGAACTGTGCGACTCTTGTTTTTGGTTGTTCTTGCGTTGCAATGTAAAACTCTTGTTGTTGTTCTTCTTCTTCTGCTTCTTCTTCTTCTTGTTCTTGTTCTTGTTGTTGTTCTTGTTGTTCTTGTTGTTCTTGTTGTTCTTGTTGTTGTCGTTGTTGTTGTCGTCGTTGTTGTCGTTGTTGTCGTTGTCGTTGTTGTTGTTGTTGTTGTTGTTGTTGTTGTTGTTGTTGTTGTTGTTGTTGTTCTTGTTACTTGTTACTTGTTCTTGTTCTCGTTGTTGTCATGCAAAATCGGCGGGGGGGCGGGGCGCGGGGGCTGATGTTACAATTCCCCTTGTGGGCCCTGGTCGAAAGACACTAAGTCGACCACGAAGTACACACACACACACACTTGTAAGCAGCTTGTTTGCCATCTGAAGGCGTGGCTACGTTACTAAGTCTTGAGCCATGAAGCGGAGTATATCCAAGCGTTAAAAGCTTTTCTTGTGTTGTTGTCGTTGCTTTTTCTGCTGGTGTGGCTGCTGCTTCATGGTGGTTGTGATGTTGGTGGTGCTCTGCTGTGCAACGACCTAGCCAGGTGAGGGCGACTTCACAAAACGGCGGGTGTGGTCCCAGCGCCTGCCCCCCACAGAGCTTCTTTTGTTGGTGGTGCTCTGCAGTGCAACAAGCTAACAAGGTGAGGGCGACACTTGTCAATCCGGCTGGTGTGGTCGCAGCGCCTGCCCCCCTGGTTGTGGTTGTTGTTGTTGTTGTTGTTTGTTGTTTGTTGTTGTTTGTTGTTGTTTGTTGTTGTTTGTTGTTGTTTGTTGTTGTTTGTTGTTGTTTGTTGTTGTTTGTTGTTGTTTGTTGTTGTTTGTTGTTGTTGTTGTTGTTTGTTGTTGTTGTTTGTTGTTGTTTGTTGTTGTTTGTTGTTGTTTGTTGTTGTTTGTTGTTGTTTGTTGTTGTTTGTTGTTGTTTGTTGTTGTTTGTTGTTTGTTTGTTGTTGTTTGTTGTTGTTTGTTGTTGTTTGTTGTTGTTTGTTGTTGTTTGTTGTTGTTTGTTGTTGTTTGTTGTTGTTTGTTGTGGTTTGTTGTGGTTTGTTGTGGTTTGTTGTGGTTTGTTGTGGTTTGTTGTTGTTTGTTGTGGTTTGTTGTTGTTTGTTGTTGTTTGTTGTTGTTTGTTGTTGTTTGTTGTTGTTTGTTGTTGGTTGTTGTTGGTTGTTGTTGGTTGTTGTTGGTTCTTGTTGGTTGTTGTTGGTTGTTGTTGGTTGTTGTTGGCTGTTGTTGGCTGTTGTTGGCTGTTGTTGGCTGTTGTTTGTTGTTGTTGTTGTTGATGTTGTTCTCTTCTTCGTCTTCTTCTTCTTCTGTCCCTCACTTCTCCTTCTCTTTGCCTCGTCTTTGTCCTTTTTCTTCTTACCTTCAATACCTTTCCAAGACCCCGAGGCCTGACCAACGCAAGACACCCCTGCTACCGTCGCAAACAACCCCTGTTGCCGTCGCAATAAACCCCTGCCGACGCAATAAACCCCTGTCACCGTCGTAATAAACCCTCCGGGCTGTCGCAATTAACCCTCACTGAACTGATGCAAAAAACCTCTCTGGCACACCGTCGCAAAAAACCCTCCAGAAGACAACCGTCGCAGAAAACCCCCGTTACCGACGCAAAAAACCCGAAGCCCAGTGAAATTGCGTAGATGGGTTTAGAGAAAACAATATCGGAACATTATATGATTGCATATATATATATATATATATTTAAATATATATATATGTATATATATATATATATCACCAAGTTATTTGATCCAAGTTCCAGCCGTGTGGCTGGGGGGTTGGGAGCGGCCTTGAAGATACCCAATCACAGACTTTTGTACGCACTTTTGATGAGTATATATTAGCTTTCCATGATGTCGGTTTCTTTGAAATCACACAGTCAGCTGGTTGTAAGCCATTCATAGCAAGAACGAAATCACGCACCGACCCATTGACGCTTTCCATCGTAATGACCACAGTTGATGTTTTCATACACTCAAACAGCTGTGCCAGCTGGAATGACACCAAAAAAATCGCTAGCTCATTTCCTGTAAACATGTGCATATATGTATTTGGGGGTATATTCATGCACATATTATATGTCTATGTAATATACATTATATATAGATATATCATACACATGATATTATGATATAATTTTTGATATATTTTGTTTTTTTCCCTTCCCATTTTTTGATATTACATTATATCTAGCGAAATAATATTATTTTGAAACACTAGATTGGACGAACTCGCATCCCTTTTTTTGAGATATTACATGTATTTTTCTTGTTACTTTAGGATGCGATTTACACAAGTGTGGTGTATACAGAAATCATTGTCCCTAAAAAGGTAGAAGTTCGTAAAATCCAGTTTTCTAAAATAGTGATGTTTTTTGTGCACTCCTGAAAATAGTGATAATAACGTGCTTTTCTATCCTTTTTTTGGGGATTTGCCTCTGGTAATTTAACATAGCTATTGAAAACGGCACATTTATATCTGATTTACCTATGAAAGATGGTGATTTTCCAGAGCTATCTTAGTTGCAGAGGGTAAGCCTCCATTTTCCTATAGTTTTCCTATGGTTTTTCCATTAAAACTCCGGTCTTCCATGGCCCACCGAGCCCCAAGGTCACCACAGCGATCCTCCTCGGGGATCCATCGCTCTGCGCCAGCGACGCCACCAGCGCTCTGCGCACGGCGCGCTACATGGACGACGCGCTGGAGACCTTCTACGGCGGCAGAGCCGATGCCTTCTGGAAACGGGTGGAGAGCTGGGGAGTCAATTCCAAGTGAGACTGGCTCGGTGGTAGAGCTGCTAGATTTATTCATGTGTCATAAAATGGAACTTTTTTTTGTTGTATATATCGTTATGTTAGTGTTGTTTTTGCGGAGACATCTGCGGATGTCACTTATATATATATATTAATTTTTTTTGGATGTCTATATGCTTGCAAAAGGGGATATGGTTCCGAATCTAAGCTACCATTTTCGGGATTCAACTGACTTAACCATCATACATTGGGATTTCAGCAAAAATAATATGCAATTTAACCATCAAAACTACGTAGAGATTTAACCAATGAAGAATGGCTTTGGGTGTGTCTGAACTGAAAAGGTTTCACCTTTATCACGACGACTTTCTATAGAGAAAACATAGGTTTTAAACCAGTGGACGGAACCTGGCTACTCTATTGTCAGACATATTCGGCTTGCTGTTTGAACTCTTAAACCGTAAACCGTTTAGCAGATCATATGAACTACATATATATATATATTCATATTTATATGTAAATCCAACATGGGGGTGATTTTGGATTCTCATACCTGTAAATCTATCATCGTTCTTGGATTCACGGGGATCTTTCATCAAATCATCTTAGATCTATAACATGCACTAAGGATAGAATAATGCTAATTTCAAAATAGATTGTGAATCTTGGCACATTCTAAATCTATCTCATTGGACCCCCAAAGCTATTGCAAATTGCAATTTGGGTCCAAGAAAGACATATGTTCATACACATTTTGTGACGGGTTGACACTGCGAGCAAGTCATTCTGATTCTCAAATTCTGCTTGGACTGGCTGACCCTGGCCGACGTGGCTCCAGATACCCTCCGGTAGGACTACTTTAAGCAATTCAACCCTCAACTTCATAGGCAAATCATCAACCCAAATGGAGGATTTGCCATGTGACTTTACCGGATCGGATACCCCTAAGATGGTCACTGGTGAATAGCTGCTGCCTCAAAGTCGGGCAGCTGCATTGCTCGGAGATTGGTTGCAGAAAAGCCGGACATGCTGATGACTTTCTCACTTCTTATCCCTCAAAAGTAATTAGATTAGATATTGTGATGTAATCAGCATTCAACATAAGCGAATATTGGTTAGCCTTGTTTGAATTACTTCGAGGGTTGATTTTGGCCCTTTGATAGGGACATGTGTTAAAATAAACATATGTATATATATATATATAGCGCACATATACATGTATGTCATACGCAACCCAGCTAAACAATGATGGCTATTTAACCTCCCTGATACCTTGGGCAACGAGTTGCCAGGCTGAAGAAGAGGAAGAGAGGTGGGGACAGCAAGGATACGCATGGGATGCAGGCGGAGGATACTGCAGAATGTTTCTTAAAATTGCAATATTTCATGGGGAATATATATAAATATATTGATATGCAAGTTGATGCATGAATGATATCTATACTACACATATTGTGGTTATATGCATGTATGTATGTATGCATATATACGTGTGTACTTGTACACGCATGTACATACTACATACACAATATACTCGTGTGTGTGTATATAGTAATAAACATATATACAATCGAAGGACGTTCAGAAGTCAAACTTCCGACAATATGGACAGATGAAAATCCCAGAGATGGGAAGAGTCAGAGAAGAGAAGAGAAGAAGAAAGAAGATCAAAGAAGAGAAAGTCAGAAGAAAGAAGATCCAGGTGCGCGAAAAGGTAGGAAAGTCGCGAAACATTGTGTGTTTCCAATGATTTGTGGCTCCGGAGGGTCGAAAAGTAGGCTCGTTAAAGCGGCCCCACGTTGGGATATATCCTCCGGTAATCAAATGTTGGAGTTGAAAATCCTAGATCAATGGTGATTTAATATGTTTTCATGGGACAATAATCTAAAAATTGTTGATTTTCCATTGCTATGTTTGATTCTCAGAGGGTATATCCAATTTCATCACTATGACAATTGGGAGCATAAGCATCATACCACATATACATATATATTTATAACTATAAGGTGGTTGGGAAACTCAATTCTGTTTAATGGTGTTTTGAATGGATTTGTTGCATGGCCTGCCCACTCACACCATCGTGACCTGTAGCATGAGCCGCCTCCACCCAGCTCTGGCCAGATGAGAGATGATAAGTTGCATGCCGTTGTGGCGTGAAACACATGTCCAAGTCAAAATGTACAAAGCACACCATGTTCGGACCACTTTTGGAAGTTGAGATGTCGAAAAAGCGCGCCCCGTAGCACATTTTGAAGTCAAAATGCACAAAACACTCCATTCTCGGACCACTTTTGGAAGTTGAGATGTTGAAAAAGTGCACGCCCTTGTGGCGCAAAGATGCGCAAAGCACATTTCGAAGCCGAATTTTTTAAAAACACCACATGTTCGGACCACTTTTGGACGTCCCAATGTCGTTTCGCGTGGCAGGCGCAAGGGATTGCGCACCTTGTCAAAAGTCAGCAAAACGTGAGGGTTTTGTAGAACTTTCAAAAATGATGGCAGGCGTGGGACATTTGAAGAGGATCTGGGAAGATGCATTTCACGTGGCAGGCGCAGTGCAAGAGACACATGAGTTAGATGTGTTAAGAGATCAGGGCGAAGATTTCCTGAGAGGGGTGGCATTTTGGAGCATGCGATCGTCAGCTTTGCGAAGATGATTCTGCGTGACAGGTGCAGCACTTCGTATGACCTGGCCTCACTTTTGCCTGGCAGGCGCAATTGCTGCTTTTTTGATGTTGTCAAGTTCGAAAATACATTACACTACATTATAACTACAAGTACAACTACAACTGCAACCACAACTACACTGCATTACACTACACTATACTACACGACTTGCATTACACCACACTGCGCTACACTAATTACACTCCACTCCACGCCACGCCACGCCACGCCACTCCACTCCACTCCACTCCACTCCACTCCACTGCGCTGCGCCACACTACACTACACTGCATTACACTACACTACACGACAACTACAGCTACAGCTACACCTACAACTACGCTACTTTACACTACATCACACTCCACTTCACTACACTACACTACCCTACATTACACTACCCTACACTCATTACACCACCACACATGCAACAAATGCAGCTACACTACACTAATTACACTACACTACAGCTACAGCTCCGACTTCGACTGCAACTAAATTACATGACACTACATCGCGCTACACGAATTATATTACACCACGCTACACTACACTAATTACACTACGCTGCACTCCACTCCACTCAACTCAACTCCACTCCACTCTACTCGACTCCACGCCACGCCACGCCACCCCACTACACTACACTGCACTACACTACACTACGCTACACTACACTACACTACACTACACTACACTACACTACACTACACTACACTACACTAACTACAACTACAACTGCAGCTACAACTACAACTACACTACATAACGCTACATACCACTACATACACGACACTACGCTACGCTACACTACACTACACTATAACTACAAGTACAATTACAACTGCAACTACAACTACACTGCATTACACTACACTACACTACACTACACTACACTACACTACACTACACTACACGAATTGCATTACACCACACTGCGCTACACTAATTACACTCCACTCCACTCCACTCCACTCCACTGCGCTGCGTCCCACTACACTACACTTCACTACGCTACACTACACTACACGACACTACACCAAGTACAACTACAGCTACACCTACAACTACGCTACTTCACACTACATCGCACTCCACTTCACTACACTACACTACCCAGCATTACACTACACTACACTCATTACACCACCACACATGCAACAAATGCAGCTACACTACACTAGTTACACTACACCACAGCTACAACTCCACTACACTACAACTACAACTACAGCTGCACTACGCCACACTACATCCAGCAGTTGTGTGTGAGGTGACCGACCAGGTGACCACTGCAACCATTGTAACCACTGCAAAAAAACTCCATCCACATTTCAGCCCATCAGTGGATTCGCTCTGCCATCCGTGATTCACAACAACCAAGCTCTCCTATAGTTTTCCTATTTTCGAAACTATCGCCACCGCCTTGTGTGGTACTACTGGTATTGTACATACAGGTATTATCTATATATATGATACGGGGATATGATGCACCATTTGGTTTGGGGTATACCATCCATTCTTGGGATGAAAAAGCCCAAGGATGCGGTTGAGCCTGCACCATGATCAAACATGATCACACCCATGGCTGTACACGCTGACGCGCCCTTTGTTTTCCTGCTTGTTGTCATTGGACGATATGCGGATGAGACAATACGTGTAAGACCATCCGTATGCTTATAGGGGGATGACGATCCAAACCAAGCAGTTTTCTGGTGTGAAAACGGAGTTTGATCCACATGGATTGGGGAAGTTGGATCTGCTGGTTCGGTACCAAACATGACTGGTGATTTAATCCGTGACAGATGTCTAGGAGAAGGACATGAATTTGGAAATCGTGAATTCCACCACATCTGGCTGTTTCAATCCTATGACAATCTTAGTGTCAAATGAACCCCCGCAACAAAAGGCAAACTGATTCTATTTTCCGTCAAATCTCTTTGACCTCAAGATGTTCAAAATGACAGATCCAAAAAAAATCCCAGAATCGGATGATGGGAGAATTTCACTTGGGGTTTCCCCCCCTTTGTTGCGCACACCCCGACAGCATGTCGGGGGAAACTTTTTGGGGCCCGAAGATCCCAGGCCCAATGTACAACTCTTAGTGCAGAAGTATGAGGCGCTCCGCTTTTGTTTGGGTGGGTAAGAAGAAATTCAAAAACCCTGTTGGTTGAAAATTGGTTTGTCACTTTATAAACTTTGTACGGGTTTCACCTGTTTCAACTATCAAAATATGGCGATATAAGAAGTGATATATATATATATAGTGATAAAACATATAAATGACGGTTGATTATTATTTGGGGTGATACTAGCCAATATATTTGAGATTGTAACGTTCACTGCGGGTTTCGAACACTGTTCACCTCTTGTGGATAAGATATATATAGATATTCCATAATGGGTACAGTTTTATCGGAATATATATAGGAATAGTGGATAATATGGACTACTCTCCTGAGTCAGAAACATTGAGAAACCGCCGTTCGGCCATCGACCACGAGGGGAAAGAGATCTGATCTGATTACAACAGAGAAATCATCTCAGAAACTGAGTTTTCCTGTTCAGTCGATGCGTTCTTTCATATTTCCATTGCTACTTCATGGTAACAACTGAGTCGTTTTTTGTTGTTGAAACCCGATTTTCTTATTGGTTTCAGCCCTTCAAGGGGCAAATTCGCTGCGTACGCTCGCAGTCTCCATGGCCAACTCTTCTCCGCCGAAGTCAAGAAGGCTCGTGGTTGTTCTCTTCGCACTGGTTGGTTAATAGAGGGGTCAACCCTCAACAACCAATAGGATCCAATAGATAAATGGTTATGAAATGATTATGAATTATGAATGGTATACCAAACCCCTTGATTTTTCGAAGTCAATTTCTGGACCCAAGGACCAAGGATTGACCACAATTTCGCTTTATCGATGTCAGACATGCTCTCTATGTGCTGGAGTAGAACACAGCTGGTTTCGTTCCCTCTTATATTTGGTTTTGGCCCTAGTGGGTGCTCATGGCATATAGAGTCAATTTAGTACTATATAATAGTAATAATATATATATATATACACATATATAATACATATATACATATATATATATATACATATATATATAATGTATACATAGAGTAATACGAGGATCGCAAATGACCATCTTCGGGAAAAACATGGGCTTCCTTGTGCCAGGGGTGAAGAACACAGCGACGCCTGCGGCTTGTGCAGCCCTCAGAATTTGTCCAGGACGAACTATTTCCGAGCGAAATGGAGGTTTTAATCAGAGCATCCATCAATCAATTGGATATTTTTAAGCACACCGTGTATGATTACCGGTGGGTTTTTAAGATATCCAAATCTATTGGTGGGTATATCTCATATCTTTTCTTACAGCTTGCTGTATTCCTGATTGAAAGGTTGAACCAAACGCACAAAAACTCTTGTCTGTACCAAGAGCCAAGACATCCTCGAGAGAAACCATGGATGGCTGGACACTCTCCACAAACCCATCAATTTGTGTCAACTTTGAGGGTTGGATGACTACTATGCTCGTGAAATGGGCGATTCTTAGCGTATGTTGATTGGGGGGATGATAAATCTCGTTGGTTAAACCATGCGCCCAGAAATTGGGAGATCGGGATCTCACAACTGGCCTTGGTTCGACGCCAAGGCTCCGACGACAAAGTGCCAATTGAGAAGTCGCTGATCCTAGAGGGAAGAAAGGTAGATGGGTAGAATCACTAAGAATCTTATTATTGATTGATAATCTTAGTGTTCATCGTATCGATAAATCTTACAGACTATTATGCTGATAATCTTATTGATAATCTGGTTGTTTATCGTATTGCTAAATCTTATTGACTATAATATTGATGATCTTATTGTTTATCGTATTGATAAATCTTATTGACTATAATATTGATAATTGGATTGATAATCTGATTGATAATCTGATGGATAATCTCGTTGTTTATCGTATTGATAAATCTTATTGACTCTCATATTGATAATCTGATTGACAATCTGATTGAAATTCTATTTGGTAATCTTATTGATAATCTTATCGAGAATTTTCTTGATAAGCTTATCAATAATCTCATTAGTTGTCTTACTGATAATCTCATTGATAATCTGATTGATAACCTGTTTGTTTATCTGATTGATAATCTTATCAAATCTTATCAACAATCTGATAGACAGATTTTTTTTATTGGTAATCTTAAAGATAGCCTTTTTGATTTTCATATTGATAATCTGATTGATAATGTTATTGATTATTTTGTTGATGATCTTATCAAAAATCTTTTTGATTATCTTATTGATAATCTTATCAATAGTTTTTTGTTTTTTGATAATATTGTGGATAATATTTTGTTTATCTTGTTGGCAATCTTATCAATAATCTTATTGAGTATCTCATTGATAATCTTGTTGATAATTTTATTGATAACCTGATTGTTTATCTCTTATTGATAATCTTATTGTTTATCTTTTTGCTAATATTTTCAATAATATGAATGATAATTTGATTGATAATTTTTTTGATGATCTTATTGATAATCATATTGATTGTCTGATTGATAATCTTATTGTGTATCGTATTGTTAGACCGTATTGGCTATTATATTGATAATCTTATTGATAATATTTTTGATAATCATATTGATAATCTGATTGATAATCTTTCTGTTTATCTGTTTGATAATCTTAGCAATAATATTGTTGATTATCTTATTGATGATCTTATTGATAGTCTTTTTGAATAATCATTTTGATAATCTGATTGATCGTCTTATTGTTTTTTTGATAATCTTATCAAAAATCTTTTTGATTATCTTAAGATTGAGTTTCTTTTTGATAATTTTATTGATTATCCTATTGATAATACCATGGGTGATCTTATTGTTTATCTTTTTGGTAATCTTATCAATAATATTGTTGATTATCTTATTCATAATCTTTTTGTAATCTTATTGGGTATCGTAGTGACAATTTGTTTAATAATCTTTTCCAAAACCTTTTTCAATATTATCATTATTATTCTCAATATACTGTGGTCAAAAACTGCAATAATCATAAAAGTGTTATTTACCCTTTGGACGTTACTGTTAATAATTTTATTTGTAAGATTATTCATATTCTTTTGAAGAACCTTAGTAATATGACTAATAATATTAAGACACATTTTATTCATAATATTATTAATAACATTATGAAGGATTTTACGAAGATTTTTTTTGGTAATATTATTACGAATATTAACAATATGAACACTTATCTTATTAATAATGCTTATTCACAATCTTATGAAGGCTCCTATTGATAATATCATTCATAGTATCATGAAAAACCAATTTAACAATATTATTCATAATCTTATGAATATAAATATTATTTCAAATTGCATTAATCATAACCTTTTGAAGAATCTTATGATATTAATAAGCTTATGAAGGAGTTTTTTTGATATTCTTCATCATCTTATGAAGATCTTATCAAACATTTTTCTTTTTTTAAATCAGGGTAACAATTTTTTTATTAGCCATACTCCCAATGATCTTGTTAATCATTTTACCATTTATGTTAGATAATCTTAGTAATATGATTCATTTTTCCAATCTTATTAGATGTATGATTAGTAATCTTGTTCATAGTCGTCTAATCATTTTCTTGATCATTTTAAAAATCACATTACTATTTTTTATTGATCATTTCATTCATTGTTTTGTCATTATCATTTGATGAATCATCGTATCAATATTGATAATCCTATCATCTTTTTGCTGGGGTCACCAACTTGGCTCTTGGTCGGTTAAATCCCCATGACATGAGTCCGGGATATAGCTGGTGGCTTGTAAAAAATCAACACGCATGGGGTAAAATGTTGACATTGATGGGAGGAAAGGCTCACCAACTGGGGGTTACAAAACCAACTATAGTGGCGATGCAATAGAAAAACTCATATATGGGATATTTTTATGAATGGGATGGAACAAGTAAATTGCGTCCAAGTTTAGTGTTCTTAAGTATTCTTATGTTGGGTGCATAATCAGACCCCAACTCCACAAGGGAATTATCATATTTTCCATGATTTTGGGGTATGCCATATTTTAAGATACACCATATCATGTCCCAGGTAGAGACCATGCTGCAACGAATTCCAACCTCAACATCCCACTTAAATGACCATGTATATAGTGGTCAAACATAACGGAATCCAGTCTCCATCCCATCTACAATTCAGTTTCTGCTATTGACAACCATATATGACAAATTACATAGTTATATATTAGTAAATATACATATATATATATAGGGTCACCAAATATCTAAGTAATATATACGTGCATGTCATATACTGCAATGATTAATCTTACTCCTACATGATTGGACCATTGTAGTGTATTTTACATACCCTATATCGTAAGTACAAGGATGCACTATATATATATACACATGTTTCGCAGTTATACAATATATCGTGTATATATATATACATACTGGATAATGTTAAATTTCAAGTAGCAGCGTTAGTCCAGTCGCTGCCCCAAACGAAACCAGGTCCGTGAACTCCAGCGATGAAACCGGAACCAGTTCCCCTCCCTTCACAGACCAGGACAGCTTCACGATGTGGGTAGAAATCCCAAGCAGGGTAGGTCAGTCTCATCAGATTTTGATGATGTTTGATGACCTTTGCCTTTTTTCCGATTTTGGTTAGTTTTGTTGCTTTTTTCTAATGTTGATGATTTTTGCCTTTTGATGATTTTTGATGCTGTTTGGCGGTTTTCTTGTATTTTTTTGGGGGTGCTTGCAAAACAAACCATACTTTTGAAGCCAGACAAAAGAGACGCAACTGACCTGTGGCATCCTCTGGCCCAAGGGAAAAACGTATTGTGGGGGTCATCATCAAAAGATGTTCCATTCATTTTTGTTGTCTCAAAATTTGAGATCCAGAATTCCATCCCACGGTTTATCATGGTTTATCATTAAAAAAACTTCATTCAAAGCAAAAACACATCGGTGCGAGTTGCAGTGCTGTTCTGCTTTTTGGTTCCAAGTATTAAAATCCTGCTGCTACGTCTATCCTTTCATACTGGTACTTGGACGACCATCTGAAACTAAAATATACGGGGATTTCTTTATACTGGGCGGCTAAGAAACTTATTGGCTGGCAATTGGGATGGACATCCAAAAACACACAGATAAAAAAAGTGATGCGGGTCCAAATCATTCAAAATTGGGGTAGCTACTCTCCAAGAGAGTCTGACTAGTAAAACTAGCAAACAATTTGTTTCTTCGAGAATTGGTTGGTTTTAAATGGTTTACCCCGATATCAGAAAAATAACAACCATTGTTTTCTCTGCAGTAGCATTTTCCCTAGAACCAACCCAATGATTTTGGGATTGTTCATGGTCAAATCGATATGTTTGTTGCTTAGTACCCATTGGACGCCCATTATGTGTGGATTAACCGAGCATTTTTTTATTCGCTCTTGATGGTTCCTTGTGCATCCCACTAAGTCAGTGGGTAGCACCCATAATTCATCTAAGCTAGTGACATATTCAGGGTGTATCGCGACTATATTATTGTTGGTATAACCCAGTTAGTACATGATATGAATGGGATGCATCCCAAGTAATGCTTCAACCTTCATTTTTGACCCATCCCTAAAGCAGGAGCTCACGGACAAGTCCAACGCGCTTCGTCGGAAGGGTTCGGATTCTCAGCCGGTGTTCTTGTGAGCGTGTACGACTTTTAAATACATAAACAACATATAATATGTATGGCATTGTATGACACATCTGGAATGCATATCTATATATATCACGAAAGGTAGCCTCCCAGCGGGCTACCTTGAGTTTTACTTTGCGAAGCAAAGGGGCGGGCTGGACCCCTTATCCTTGAACGACCAGGAGAAAGGGACCCCCCCCCTCCCCCCCCTCAAAGGGAACTCTCGCCATATGCCTGGTGAGTCTCTTCACGCAGCAGCCCCTTCGCAGTGTCTCGTCATCATCACCATCATCATCATCACATCATCATCATCATCATCCTCCTCATCACCATCATCATTCGACTTGAAATTCGGATTTTTCGACATCCATTTTCCAAGTACCCAACGGTGCGATGAAAGTGACAGGTTCGAGCATCCATAGGTACCGCAAAAAGAGACATTGGAGTTTGTGCTAACACTGATCGTTTTTTTTTCCCCGCACGATGCGTGTGTCTGACAATGTATACCTCCAAATGGCTATTTAAATGGACTAAGTGATGAGCAACCATGGACATCGTGGGGTGCTCTCTTTTCGGATCCAGATATCTCCGCTCTGCTCTGAATGTCCAGTTCCATGCCCCCCAAGTGAACTCTCGTCACATGCCTTGTGCATCTCTTCACGCAGCAGCCCCTTCGCAGTGTCTCATCATCAGCATCATCGTCATCATCCTCATCATCATCATCATCATCATCATCATCATTCGACTTGCGATTCGGATTTTTCGACATACATTTGCCACGTCACTTTAACTTTTGCAAGCAAACGGGTGAAGCAAAGGAACGTCGGCGCTTCTCCATGCTTCGGTTGGACAGAAATTTTCCCTTCGTTCTGTCAAAGCGGTGATTTGCTAGCGCATGACGTCCATATTGACAAGCATAAGGCTTGGTGTCAGCAGAAAAGGGCCCGGTCGCATGTCGGCTTTCGCACTGAGTGATCCCCCGCGTCCCCTGTGACACAACTACCTTTTGTGTCACCCCTTCTCAAGTACACATTTACGGTATGCATAATGTGTGTATATATATAATTACCTATATATATATAATTACCTATATATATATACACGTAACTATATATATGTATACATATGTATATCTATATGTATATAAATATAATTACATATGTATGTATGTATGTATGTATATATATACATATGTATGTATATATATATATATATGTATGTGTATATATATACATAGTGTGTATATATATATACATATAGTATACATATATATGTTTCACATAATAAAACACATACTATATCGTATTGTTTATACATTAGGAATATTATGCATTACACATACCATACACACACTATATATGTATATATGTATATATGTATATAAAGAGAGACAAAACAGAGTCGGAACCCCACCCAGAATGGAGATTTATGAAGCATGACCACTTGCCCTGACTCTTGCTGATTTCTGGCCAAGCCAACTCAACCATTCCACGGCTCTAGAGCTCTCAGCATTTTGTGGCTGGAGAAATAATCATGGTTCCTCCATTTCCAGGGATGAGGTTCAGTATCTGTGACACTGGAGACCCGTGGGAAATCTGCTGAGGATTCAACCTTTTGCCTCAAACAAGTGGTTGGTCTCTCAGTGTACAGGGCGGTGACAGAGAAACCACACCATTAATTGATGGCACCATGGATATTCTCTGAGCCCTGACAAAGGGAATATATACGTATATATATATATAATTATATGTTTGTATATATATATATATATGTGACACTATTATTATAATAATATATATGTAATATAATGCCCCAATAGCCAACGATTATGAACTTCAGGTTTCAGGGATCATCCACTACTTAGTGCTAGTGGTCCGGGCAAGTGGATGTTAAGGTCGAGGCTGGGACATGGTGCAGCAGGTGACCTTATTATGAGTTGGGCACCCCAGCTGCTCACCCAACAGTGGCACGCTCAGAAAACTCAATGCTTGGTGGTTTTCACATGAGAATTAAGAGCCATCCCTGAGATCATGATCCGGACTCAAAACCCCTGTCAAATTCTTTGCCAGCTTAAGGGATCCTTCAAGATGTGCTAGAGAAATCGGTTGTTCAAAACCCTGGTTGGTTGATGCTTGGTTCGTCATTTCACAGGGGTTTCAACCTAATATGGGAACATAAGTGATATAGCTGATAAATGATGGTTGATTGATGATTAGTTTGGGGATTATACTAAACATCATAATATATTGGGGATTATCGCAATCCATTACGGGAATCCTGTTCTGCTCATATGTTTAATGTGTTTGCTCCATGTTGCTCGCACATGTTCCCCAGCAGGATTCTTCTGAGGGCAGTTTGCCGCGTTCGGGGTGGCCGCGTTTCGCCGTTGGTTGAAGCGGCACTCTGACGGCATGCTGTCCTTCGTTCTTTCAGAACTTTCACATTTTGTCAATGATTTGGAAACTTGTTCCTCGTGTCAGTCAGCGCAGGCTGGGGAGAGATGGTCATGATATATGCTTTGATGGCATTTCATACGTATTTAGAGCCCTGATGTCCCCATTCCTTTTTTGGGTCACCTGAAATGCTGGATTTATCATCCAACAATCCGGGCCAAATCCATAAAATCATCAGATTTTAATCCACACAATCGATTCTTATCCCATTTTTTGCGGGGAAAAAAAAGTTTCACATTGATAAATCATTATAAATCATCAGAAATCACAATGAATCACCCATAAGTCTCAGATTCCTTCATATATCCCGCCGAAACCACAATAGTTTACTTCTCCAGCCTGCGGCAGCAGACAAGCTGCAAACGCAGTGGGCAAACGGGGAGACACCCAAGCAGAACCGAACGTGTCGTGGATGGATTAAAATATGGATTAAACTTACATTATTGCAGTAAATCATTTAAAGTCGAGATTAAATGGGATGAATACTATTTGCAGGGGCATATTACTTGGATGATCATATTACAATGGGCATATTTCATGGAGTTGTGGTGATGAATCTTGGGAAATCGTCAGCCAGGAGTTCATAGGAGAAAATCGAATCACAATCAGTTGTTATTTTGCTTGCCATCATATGCATCATCATTTTGAATGGTTACTATGATAATATCCACATATTCTGAACGGAATATTGGCGAGTTGAACTTCACCTTCACAGGGATCTTCAGGGATCTTTAGATCGGCGGATGTTTGTGACATTTTGGATGACAACTTGGTTCTTCCAGCACACAGATAGGGACGTTCAGCAGTTTGTTTGAGGAATTAGGCTAAAACATCTATGAATGATATGTTCAAGAAACCTAGTCGTGGGTAAGTGGGGGAACATGATTGCGACTTTAAACAATATGCTTAAATGATCTTTAGTGAACATGTACTTTCATACCCAGGTATCCATAGATGTCCGGATTGAGGAGACTGGTCACATTCAGCTGATTTTGACCTACCCTATGCAACACGTCATAGCATGCTCACAGAAATGGAAGATCATGATGGGAATGCATGACACTGTTCGACTTTGAAAGGCAGGGGACGTACCACAGCCCCGCTGGAATCTCGGTTGGAGATGCCCGCATATGATGGGCATCCCGTAGCCTCGCCAGGAAGAGCGTCGAAGTGCCACCGGCCGAGGGAGAACTGGTCCCTTCAGGGGGATCTAATGTGCAGCTCAATTAACACTGCAAGCCGTGCTGCACCACGTCACCGAAAAAAAGTGTTTCGGGATGATTGAGGAGTCTTGCAAGACTTCCCGGAATCCGAGGAAAATTTGTAGCCCTGGCAGTGCGCAATTCCCATGAATTCATATCAATTCCCTATACTTGTAGTCATGGTTTTTTCTGCATGGTAGCCAAAGATGGCCAGAGACCATTTTGACAAATCCAGATTCTTGTCAATGTATGTGTGCTCAAGTCGCCAGCAAAATCATTATTAACTCATTGAAGTTGCTGGCACAGAAATGCACAAAAATGGTAGCCAAGTCTTTCTGCTCAAAGCAATGGAAAAAACCTGTTCAGTGCGAGTCAATGTTTTCTCCTTGACATGGTGGGGAGTAGTTCCAGGCTCAGATCTCTGAAACAGATCACAGTTTGTGGATTTGGGGGCCACTGGCGAACCCTTGCGACCTTGACCTCACCATAAATGAGGTGGAGATATTCTCAGTCTTGGATAGTATTGGAATTTATATTATATGGCTGTTTTTTTTCAGTTCATTGCTAATTATTCAGTTCCAGCCTCCCCGTCTCGGAACGAAGGGTGGAATTTATGCTTCATCTGTGACAAGACCCTTCAAGACCCGAAGGCGCGATGGGGTGTCTGTGAGCCACATATATCTCCAACAAAGATTGTACAGCATGGAAATTGCAGGGGCTTGGGATGCTCCCCGCTCTCTTTTGTTTCTGACCCAAAATGCCCCGTGTTTTCTTCTCATGTCTTGTTTTCGCAGGGATGATAGTCCCAGTTGACTTTCATTCTTGTGGGACAGGGTGGCTTATCCCCAGAGACCAACAGATCGCTGTTGATGATGTGCTGAACATGTTCCGGACTTTCTTGATCATTGGTCACATTATTATTAAGCATCGTATCTCTCATACTCCATGGATGGCTCAAGCACTACTTTTTTTCTCCTGTTTTCATCATATATCCATGTAACACCCCTGTTTGACAATTATATCTATTGTGTTGCCATGTGTTTCCCTAATATGAACTGATATCATGAATGATATCCCTGCAGGATTTCGCAACCATCCACAGTATATAACCAGTAGAACTGCGGAGCATCTCTTGGGCCATGGTGATCATTGCGATGTTTGATTGCCACAGGGCCACAGGGTATAGATGAGTACGGTATAGATATGTATATATATATAGACAACAGTAAGTGCCAAGTCCACTTTCTTTTTGCATCGTCCACTGGTTCTCCCAAGGTCAGAACCCAGAAATTTTTTTTTGCAGACGAACATCATGACATTCTGATGGGCTTACTTGGCACCCAAATTTTCCGGATTTGGACGAAGCCACTGCCAGGATGCACTGAGTGATCCAGCCGTTCAAGCTGAGATTCTCAAGGTGGCCCAGGAGAATTTCCAGAGGTGCCATGGCAAGTTTGAACATTTTGGAGGGCTTCAAGATTTGCTTGGAATTGAGAGGCGGCTAGAACTAGTTGGTTTTTGTTTTTTTGGGGGTTTGGTGATACTACCATGAAGCTTCATGGGGGATTTTGATTTGTAGGGATTTGCCACATTTTACCGCTATGGATGGGTAAACCGACGCAATTCCTCCATGAACCGACACGTATGTCTCGGAATTCCCAAAGGGCTGAGCTCCCATTGCTTTATTGAATCAATGATGTGCATTCCAGTTAGTATACGGGATACACACATATCTATCGATGTATATATATATATAGAGAATTATATAGATTATATCATTCTTATTCATGTAATGTGCATTAGTGTCTGTGATATACCTATTACAATGTCTATGCATCCTCTGTAGATGATTGGCCAGCTACTGGCACGTCCATGTAAGCTCCGGTCCTGGGTGGGATGACAACCACCAAGTCCCTCGAAGAATTTGGGATGGGCCCTTTGAGTTTCTTGTGGTGAAAAGGCAAGGGATTGGACAATGCAATATATTACTGGCTGGTGGTTTGGAACATGATTTCTTTTTTTTCCATGTATTGGGAATTTCTTCATCCCAACTGACGAAATCATATTTTTCAGAGGGGTGGCTCAACCAGTAACCACAAACCAGACTATATTATTATAAAGTGCAAAGATGATGGTGTCGGTACACTGGGATGGTCAATATCATTTTCAGTATACACTGATCAACATCCCAGCTTAACAGCTAAACGTCTCCCTTGATACCAAGGTTTGGACCCCGTCCCCATGTGAATGATGATAAAGGATCCCAGCAAAACTGGATCTGATTCAGGTTTATCAGACATGGTCAATATTTTGCCTGTGTTGTTTTTACTGTTGTTATTGCTTTAATTATAGGGTGTTCAAATTGTTGATACCGGTGGAGTTTGCTGTGAGCAGAGAAGGCATTCATTTACATATGGGATAGGAGTAGGATGATTATAAATTGAATATATATATATATATTAATAATTAAGAATACAGGTCAGGTAGAGATTTACACCCAAAATTCTGAATCACCCTATACAGTATTAAAAATATACATACATACAGACGTACATATTCATCTACAGACCCACTGACCTGCCTACCTACCTAACCTCCCTACCTCCCTACCTCCCCACACACATCCGATATGATTCTGGTCCCCATGGGTTGTTAAAGCTTGAAAACTGTGGTTCCAAGGTTGCATCTGCCGCCAAAGACAAGATCTTGGAATGGGCCAATGATCCACAGGTGGCTGGGTTCATGCACATGCTGCAGCTGCTAACGCCGAAAACATATGTTTGTTGAAATCAGCATGCTATTTTGTTCAAACTGGTACTACTGTCTTACAGCAGAAGTAAACCAAATTAAAACAGCAATTTAAATCAAAATGACTTCAAGAAGCGGAGGATGCATCAGTCGTAGAACTAAACTGTTCTTGCGAGGGCTCAAGACCAAGCAGTTGCTTTCCCAACTTGCGCTGGCAAATTTTTCAGATTTTTCCCACCATGCGGTGGGTCAGGGGAGTGGCCCTAGTACCTGGGTTTGATTTATTTTTTTTGTTCCATTGGTTAACCCACCACATTGGTGTGTCTGAAAATGAGGATATTCTCACAATATAGCAATTTTAATAGGGAACGTGACGATTTCACGCGTGGATTTGGGGTGTACCCATGTTCAGACAAACCCAAGCCAATGTAAAATGTATATGATATTATATATATACAGTTCGTATGTGGTGCGGTGTATCCACTAAGATGCACTAAGTAACAGTATGTGTGATTATGTGTCTTTGTTTTTGGAAGCCCCGCTCCAAGGTCGTTTTCGGATTGACGATGGGGACATGTGGAATGCAAATGATCCGCATGTCTGAACTCAAGAAGAAAGAGCAGAAACTCGGGGAGAGCCGCAAATTGTTCATCCTGGGCATGGTGACCTGGAGTTGCAAAAGATGTTTGATGTTGTTTCATGGTTTTTCATCTTAATTGCTGGATCGATTGGGGATATTTCCCCACATTGACGTATGGGGTTTTTGTTTCTAGTGCTCTATCCACTCCCTCCTCCTCCTCCTTCTCCTCCTCCTCCTCCCGCCTGTCCTCCCACACTCACTCACACTCACACTCACACTCACACTCACACTCACACTCACACTCACACTCACACTCACACTCACACTCACACTCTCACTCTCACTCTCACTCTCACTCTCACTCTCACTCTCACTCTCACTCTCACTCTCACTCTCACTCTCACTCTCACTCTCCTACCAAAGTGACACACCTGTACATGCACATACATACCTACACACACAAACTCACCCACCATCACCCCTCCATCACTCTCATACTTCCTCTTCCCTGGTTGCTTCTCTGTGCTCCGTCTAAGTCTGGAGAAGTTGTTAACTTGTGGGGTTATCCGGTCCTTTATGTTTTTTTTGGAGGGGGCCTTCCTGTGAATTGATGACTGGAAAATCAACCAGCAAAGTGGATGATCTACATGATGAAGATCACTGATGTTTCAACAAATCCCTGAGTGATGGGTTTGTTCATTTGAAGGTCCCGCAAAAACAGGGGATATTGGTAGGGAAAGAGGAGGACTTTTTTGGTGGCCGGGACTGCTCCCTTGCCCTTCTCCCTCTGATCGATAATATAATGACCACTTGGGGATGGGCTGCAAAACACACTGATGTTCACTGCAGCAAGATTTTGATCGGCAAGATGATGACCATCAATCTAGACGACTGTGTTCGCCCAGACTCAGCCAGCTCCAAGGCTATGAATATCTTGCTGGGCCCTCTGTTTGATGTCGCTGGCTATGCCTTTGCGGCGGCTGCTGTCCTTGCACCATTTTCTGGCGTTAATATTGTCACTAGGTTTGAAAAAAACAAACGGGGAAGAGTTTTTCGGAAACAAGCATGGTGAACTACCTAGGAAGGATCACATTTTTTCGGCTGGAATTTTTCGAGATCATGTCTTGTCACCGACAAGCATGCTGAATTTTCCACCACTGAAAAAAAGTACTTAACACAAATGATTATCTGATGATCTTTTTTCAGTGTTTTCATGTTTTTTTTCCTATTTGAGGATTTTTCTGTAACATAAGGTCATGACATGTTTCTATTTTCCAATATTTTCCATCTTCCAAATGGGAGGATGAAATCCAATTGGCAATCAACTGATTCTTGGGTGCCATGGGTGCGAAGCAATCGTGCCAGGTGATCAATGCTGTCATTGCTCCCTTCACCTTAGGTGAGAAGCTCACAAACCGCAGGACCCGGGCTTTTGAACTGGTAAAGGGTCCACACGGGTTTAAAACCAACACAATATTTGGTAGAGGAATACCACTTAAACCCACTTAAGACCATCTCTCCGTGCCAACAACATGGATGTTGCCAGATGATACCTACTAACCTAGGATGGGTAAACCACTCGTTTATTCACAGGGGGTTTATCTTCAACTTGTTTCCTCATTCTTTGCTCTGCGAAGTCGCCCTCATGCTGAACCCCTGCAGATTGATTGCATCCGCCATCATCTTTATCACGGCCACGGCGTCGATGCTGTTCAAAAATCACAATGAAGATGAAGAGGTCTGGACCTTAGAACGTGCTGAAACTGTTCTCTTGCGATGGAGCGTCTTGGTCTACTGCTTGGTCTTTGCTCTGTGGTTCTGTGTGAATGTGTGGCTTTGCAGACGTTCGGCGAAAGGTTCAGTGCTACGAGGATTCTCGTTGGGAGCCACTGCAGGCTCCATGGCAGGGAACATGTGGTGCACGCGCGTGGCAGCAGTTTTCGCAGCTGACTGCGCTTCTGCACACGTTTGCAGCCCCTGGGGGCACTGGCTCCCATGGATTGTTTTGACTGGAGCGGTGTTTTTCGCGGTGGTTAATGCGCCATACATGGCGAAGGGCATGCAGAAATACGAAGCTCTCTATATGGTGACGGTGTTCCAGGGGTCCAACATTGTCTCAAACAGCCTCAGTGCACTCATCATCTTGCAGGAGATGGACGGAGCACCTTGGTGGAAACTGCTGGGCTACATCGGGTGCATCGTGGTCATGATTGGGGCGCTTTGGTTCTTAGTCTCAGGGGAAGAAGCCGTTTGTCCCAGCAACGAACTGGATGACGATCTGCGACGCATGCTTTCCATGGAAGAAGGCAGTGAACTTGAAGACAGTGAATCGGAAGACGAACCTGATCTGATGGACTTCGTCCGCGCAATGTCGCTGGACCAATTTTCACCACTGTCGTTTTCTTCATGGTTATCGCATGCAGAAGATTCACAAGATGGGGAAGGATCGCAGAACGGGGAGGAGCAGCAACAAGAGGAGTCTGACAATGCCTGAAACTGAGAAAACTTCCACTGGCAGATCAAGGGGCAAAGCTTCCCCCTATGCTTGAAGTTTTTGGTGCATTTGACATGTTTGACCAATGTAAAATGCCGACCTGCTAAGAAGATGACTTCACTTCGTGCTGAAAAGAAGTTGCATGTGGCAGGGCGTCTGGGCGTCTCTACGGCCACAAATCAATGTTGATTGCATGGTATTACAATAGAATTATCCCTAGTAGAATGACAGTAGGGGCCCGTCATTGTGTTGATTGGTGTTATATGCGCCGTGTGCAAGACATTGCCTAATTATAATTTATAGATATTTATAGTAATGTTGGCTGTCTAATAATAACATCCCCCTATTTTTTTTTAGGGGGGTCAGCATTCCAATAGTAAATTAAATTAGGCTAATTAACTTTTAATATTGGATACTATACCATGCCCTCTGGACAAGGTCAGAACATGAGTTTTTTTGGCAATAATACAATTAAATTAGGCTAATTTACTTTTCGTATTGGAGAAAAAACTAGAGTTGGGAAAAAGTTTCCACTATTGCCATGTTGGGTCCACTATTGGCCATGCCCTCTGGACAAGGTCAGAACATGAGTTTTTTGGTAATATTAAAATTAAATTGAGCTAATTGACTTTTAGTATTGGAAATAAAACTGGAGTTGGGAAAAAGGTTTCTACTATTGCCAAGATATCAGTATTGGTTAGACAACATTAGATATTTATTTAAGAATCTATGTAGTGGATGGTTTTCCCCCATGTATAGTTGGCTAATATACCCACTATAAGAGTATGAGGATAGGATGACTATCTCATGCAACTTGACCATGGCATTGACAGTCAGGCATTGCCCATTTCAATGCTCATTGAGTTCAGAGGTTTCACAGCTGGCGATGTTTCATGACACCGGATTAGATCTCCATTGATTGTTGGTGTTTACCCCCATCGATTCTATCAATCCTTTATTATCCCCGTGGCAATTTCCACTCTAGAACTGGTGAACCTGTGCATAGTTTAAACAATTTTTTGAATGTATTGGAATTTTAAAATTGATGCCAGGCTAGTCATTTTATTGTTGGGGGGTTCGGTTGGTCTGAGCATTTTATTGGCAAGGTAAATCCTGATGATTTTTAACATGTTAAAATTCCATTCTCATTTTATTGCAAAAAAAATCTGTTTGGAGCATTTTATTGCAGGATGGAACCAATGCTTTTCCAGGATCTTTTTATATCGATTTTATTGGGCATGTCATTTTAGATGCGAATTTTAAGGAATTTGAAGGAATTCTAAGGAATTTTCAGGAATATTAAGGAATTTTAAAGGAATTATAAGGAATATTAAGGAATTCTAAAGGAATTATAAGGACATTTAAGGAATTTAGAGAGTTTTAAGGCATTTTAAGGAATCTTAGAGGAATTTTAAAGAATTTAAAGGAATTTGACGGAATTTGAAGGAATTTGGATGATTTTTAAGGATCTTTAATGTTTTTTAGAATTTAAAGGATATTTAAGGAATTTTAAGGAAGTTAAAGGATTTTTAAGGAATTTTAAGGAATTGCCACGAAAGAATGCAACCGTATTTTGTTGCTATAAAATGCTATAAGAAAAAGAAAAACACTTAATATTTGGGCACCTTCACTCTAAAATACCCCTATCTAAAAAGAATTTCCCGACCCCTTTTTAAAGAGGCGTTTCTGAGGGTCTTCGAAATTGGATGAAGTTGGATGCAAATTCGGGCATGAATTTGCTGGCAAGGCATTTTATTGCAGAACCAGTTTTCATTGCTTTTGTGCATTTTAAAGCCTGAGGCCCTATGCACAAAAGTTAGACCGCTCTAAAACTCCTGCACAGCTTCACATAATGAAATGGAACCCCGATCCTTTATTATCCTTTATTTTTAATGGTTTATCCCCAGTTTTCATGGTTAAATCATGTCAAAATCCCACATTCCTGTCGGTGTTAGTGGCCCATATGTAGTCCATCCATTCCGAAGCGACCAAAGAGGGCGAACTATCATGAAATATCTAGTTCCAAGAGTTTTCCATGGTTTTCTTTGTCACCATTCAGATTGGTGTTCAGCTGTCGCAACGTTGTGGTCGACAGACTGAAAATTGTTGTTCCGCGATGCCATTCATCACCTCGGCGGGTGAATTTTTGACCAATGGTTCCCTTCTGGTTCAAAAATCTAGAGGTGACATCCAGCATCAAGTACCTTTTAGTCAATGTCTATATTTTCTATATTATTCTACATATATAATATAAGTATATATATATAATGTACTATAATATTTGGTTTTGTCTGAAGATCAAGTTCTCTAAAAATTGATGCTTAATCATGAATCATCATTATCCCAACATAAACATGGCCATTTTCAGACAGACCCATTTGCTCACCGGGCAACAAATCACTGTTCCAAAGGTGGAAGCCTTGATCGAACAAGGACCCAGTGGCGGGGGCCTTGGCAGCGGCACTGTCGAATGGGTCGAAGCTTTGGGAAGCGGTGGGAAGCAATGGGAATGCGGCCAGAGTCATGCACTGAATAATCCAATGGAGAAGCCAACAGTATATCGATAGTTGATGATAGTTATGCATAATTTACAATCATTTCTTTATTTACATGGTTTAATGATGTTGTACCTGTTCGCTTCGTCCTTTTTGATGTTTGTACCACTCGCGGCTTCCACTTGTGTGCGTAGGATCACGGGCATATTCAAAGCAAACATCTAGATAGACTATGATACACTACATGCCCTGCACGGGCATGACGTTTTATTTCAAACCTCAAAGTGCGTAATATCTTTTGATTTGACAAAACTGACAATAGTTAATAATCATAAGATCTGATAGGCAACCTATATAGTACTAATGTGTATATCTGATTGGTGGTTTTAATATTGCTGGTTTCCGTCCTACTTGGGATCCCAGTTTGCTTGCTGGATGGTGCCTCTCCTAGTGTGATGTTAGTCGGATGAACTGATCCATTCATCATTTTTCGTGGCATTTTTATTAACATTCGATGGTATTTCTTGATTTCATGACCTTTCTTGATGCTCTACATGCTGCGTGTTGAGGCCTCCAGTTATCTTCGGACTGGGCCCTTGTAGTGTAGTGTAATTGAGTGTAGTGGAGCGTAGTGGAGTGTAATTGTGTATTCGTCGAAGGAAGTTTAGAAGTCAAACTTCCGACAATATGGACAGATGAAAAGCAGAGCAGGGAAGAGGCAGAGAGAAGAGAAAGATTAGAAGAAAGAAGAGTAGAAGAGAAAGAGTAAGAAGAAAGAAGATGCAGATGCGCGAAAAGGTAGGAAAGTCGCGAAACACGTTTTTCCAATGATTTGGGGCTCCGGAGGGTCGAAAAGTAGGCTCGCTAAAGCGGCGGGTGCGGAGCCAGCTGGCCAGATGAGAGATGAAAAATTGCACGCCGTTGTGGCGCGAAGCACATTTGCAAGTCAAAATGTACAAAACACCTGGTGCTCGGAGCACTTTTGGAAGTTGAGATGTGGAAAAAGTGCACGCCGTTGTGGCGCGAAGCACATTTCGAAGTGAACATGTACAAAACACCTCCGCGTCGGACCACTTTTGGAAGTTGAGATGTCGACAAAGTGCACGCCGTTGTGGCGCGAAGCACATTTCGAAGTGAAAATGTACAAAGCACACCATGTACGGACCATTTTTGGAGGTTCAGATGTCGTTTCGCCTGGCAGGCGCAAGGGATGGTGGACCTTGTCAAAAGTGAGCAAAACGTGAGGGTTTTGTAGCATTTTCAACTACAACCACCACTACACTACACTACACTCCAATACATTACACTACACTACAACTACAACAACAACTACACCTTCACTACATTCTACTACACTACACTCCACTACACTACATTGCACTCAATTACACTCAATTACACTACACTACACTACATTACACTCACTACATTACACTAGACTACATTACACTACACTACACTACATTACACTACACTACCTTCCACTACACTACATTACACTACACTACACTCCACTACACTAGACTCCACTACATTCAACTACAACTACAACTGCACAACTACACTCCACTACACTCCACTACACTCCACTACACTCCACTACACTCCACTACACTCCACTAGACTCCACTACAGTAAATCACACTACACTACACTACACTACATTACACTACACTACCTTCCACTACACTACATTACACTACACTACACTCCACTACACTGCACTACGCTACATTACGCTACACTACCTTCCACTACACTTCTACATTGCACTACACTACACTACACTCCACTACACTACAACTACAACTACACAACTACACTCCACTACACTCCACTCCACTAGACTCCACTACACTCCACTACACTCCACTACACTCCACTACACTCCACTCCACTCAATTACACTACACTACATTACACTATACTACGCTCCGGTACACTACACTACACTACACTACCTTCCACTACACTTCATTACATTACACTACACTACACTCAATTACACTACAACTACAACTACAACTACACTCCACTACACTCCACTACACTCGACTACACTAAATTACGCTACACTACACTACATTACGCTACGCTACACTACATTCCACTACACTTCACTACATTACACAACACTACCTTACACCGAATGACACTGCACCACAGGTAGACAGGTAGACAGATAGACAGATAAATAGATAGATAAATAGATAGACAGATAGATAGATAGATGGATAGATAGATGGATAGATGGATAGGTAGATAGAAAGATGGATAGATGGATACATAGATAGATAGATAGATAGATAATTAGATAGATAGATAGATAGATAGAAAGATAGGTAGATTGATAGATAGATAGATAGATCGATAGATACATAGGTAGATAGATAGGTAGGTAGGTAGGTAGATACTCAGAGAAAGAGAGAGAAAGAGAGGAGACATCAATCACCTTTCGATCCATCAGTGGCTTCGCTCTGCCATCCGTGATTCACAACAACCAAC